GAGATACGTACTCCTCGATTATTTCCTTGTTAATCTTGTTCATATATTTTTGCAATATATCCAACATTGATACGCGTGAAAATATGTTTTCTGGAAACTCGAGATCAATTTTTATATCAATGGAGTATAGTCTAGTGGTGCAAATTAAAACGAAATTTCCGTCAAAAAAGTGATAATTTTGATCTAGATCTGTGTGTTTTCCACCCATGACCAGAACTATACCTTTTCTTGCCCATACTTTTCTCGAAGAGCGTACCTACAATTTGAGATATATAAGTAATATATATTTAGATTCTCTGGGTTTTTTTTTAGAATTCTGTATTCTTATATAGCATTTGCTGATTAATTGTACAAATATAATCAGCAAGTAGGCCGGGGTGTGAACGAGCCGAGCTCGACTGTTTTGGCAGGCTCGAGCTCGAGTCCATTATGCCGAGCTCGAGTTCGAGCTCATCGAGTTATTTTTTTGGCTCGAGCTCAAGCTCATTTTGGTTTTCTTTTTTTCTTTTTTTAATTTTTATTTATTATTTTTATTAAATTTTCTATTAAAAATTATCATAGAATACTGAAAAAAATTATAAAATAAATAATAAACTGTAGTTATATATTTTTTATGTTATTTTTATATTATTATTATAATATTTTATAATAATAATAGTAATAATAATAATAATAATAATAATAATAATAATAATAATAATAATAATAATAATAATAATAATAATAATAATAATAATAATAATAATAATAATAATAATAATAATAATAATAATAATAATAATAATAATATAATATATATATAATATTAAAAAAAAAGGAATGAGCTCGCGAGCCGGCTCGCGAGCTGTCGAACAACTATATTTGGGCTCGAGCTCGAGTTCGTCCGAAGTTCGAACTGGAGCTCGAAAAATTCGAGCTCAAGTTCAAGCCAGCTCGACTCGTTTACCACCCATATTCGCAAGTCCTTCATGGATCACCATTAAAATTATTTAATACGAAAAATTTTCTTCTTTTTGCATGTGTTTGCCAAAAGTGCTAATCTCGATCCGGACGCATAAAACATTAATTCTTTAAGATAAACTATTTTATTTTCATTTTAAACGAAAAAGAAATTGCTCACAATTAGAGCTGGACATAGGTCGAGTCGGGTAATTAATTATGAACTAATTCTCGACCCGACCCGATCATCTGACTTTGTTAAATATTGAAAACTATTATCGGTCCGATAATAGTAGGTTGGATATATAATAGATGGCAGCCGATTTTATCGGTTGCATTGTGGTGGAGTCAGGATTCTAAGTTTGGGGAGCGGATGTATTAATAAAATCTGGGGGACAGATGTATTAAAGAAATTCTAGGTGGGTAAATTTGTATACCTCTATATAAAATAATAGAAATTTGAGAAACATAGGGGCATGGGCCGCATGGCCCACTTGGCCCTAGATGGACTCCACCGACAAAATGGGTCGCATGATTGATTAGTATTATCGATCATTTAATTATATAAAAAAATACGATAATAAAATGTCATAAACTCTTTGTACTTGTTTAAAAAAAAAAAGGGGTCTTTACAAATAAGCCCATCAATTGGTATTTATTTATAAAGAGATCAAGACAAAAAACTTCTTTACCAATAAGTTCACACATGGTCCAGATTTTTGTAAAGGACTAAAATAACCCCTCATACTTTAATATGCTCAAATTTCATCCTTAACTTTATTTAACCTCAATTTGACCCCAAATTTCATAAATTATTCAATTTTGACCCAAAACTTTTATTTTTTCAAAAAAACTTAAAAAACTCTAAAAAAAGTCAACGCCGGAGACCGCCGGTCAACGCCGGAAACCGGCGAAAAAATCCGGAAGAAAAGAGAAGAAAAAAGAAAAGAAAAAAAAACGAATAAGTCAACGCCGGAGACCGGCGAAAAATCCAAAAGAAAAAAAAATGAAAAGTCAACGCCGGAATCCGGCCGAAAAAAAAAATTTGGAAAAAAAAAAATTGGGGTCAAAATTGAATAATTTGTGAAATTTGGGGTCAAATTGAGGTTAAATTAAATTAAAGATGAAATTGGAGCATATTAAAAATTGGGTATAAAGGGTTGAGGGTAATATTGGGATATACATGAATGTTTCCTTTATTTAGAATAAATATTAAAGGGATGGGCTTATTGGTGAAAGAGATATAGCCCCTAAACCTAGAATAATAAATGTGTATGGTTGGGGACTTTTCACAAAAACCCCTAAAAAAAATTATAAGATAACCATTATATTGAAAAATCCTTACTTCACATAAACTCTAACCTTAAAATTAAGAGTTTTCTACTGCATTTTTACAAGAAGTAAATGTATACAAAATAATGTGAAATATGCTCAAAGTATATTTTTGGATATAATGAGATTTTATTTTAAAAATCTATATAATATATAAAGCCAAGGTACACAATTGATGTTTTCACATTTCCAATTTTGACCCCACATTTATTTCATCTATTTCAATTGAGTTTACTTACCTTTTATAACACATTATAGAACATTTAAGACATTAATTTAAATACACTAATATTATGTTTACACAATTATAACAATTTCCACATTTCACACGTTTTTAATTGCAATACACATATTTGATTTTTTTAAATTCCATGATTTTTGCTTAATTTATGGTAAAACTATAAAATTCGGATTCATATACTATTACAGTAGAATCACAAACAAATATAGTATTAACTAGTAATTCACCCGTGCGATGCACGGGATCAATTTTTAAAAAAAAAAATTTGGATAAAATAAAACGAACGAAAACTTTGAACAGTTGACATACATGTAAATAATACCCAAAAAAAATGTTTTATTGAATCAAAATATACATTTGTTTGTGATTTACCTTCATATTCGCTGAAAATCTTTTGTGCACGCAACATTGCTCGTAATTTTAGTTATATCGTCCGATTCTAAGTTGATAAATATATTTATCTCATATCTACTTTTAACTATGGACATTGCGGCGTACAATTGCCTATGCCACCCTAATATTAACAATGATATTACACTAACAACAACTACTACTGCTACTAATACTAAAACCAACATTGATAATACTAATACCAATACTAATATTAATACTAAAACCAACACTAATAATACTAATATTAATACTAATCTTAATATTAATACGATGATTTATACTAACAGTCTAATACTAATATTAATATCAATACTAATATTAATAATAATACGCCAATTCTAATACGAATATTTAATGTTTAAACTAATACTAATACTAACACTAATACTAATACTAATACTAATACTAATACTAATACTAATACTAATACTAATACTAATACTAATACTAATACTAATACTAATACTAATACTAATACTAATACTAATACTAATACTAATACTAATGTTAATGCTACTGCTAATGCTAATGTTAATGCTAACACGCCAAGACTAATATGAATTCGAATACTAATAATAATACTAATAATGATAATAATAATGATAATAATATTGATATTGATATTGATACTGATACTGATACTGATACTAATACTGATATTAATATTGATACTAATATTAATACACATATTAATACACATACACATATTGATACTTGTATCGATACCGATACTGATACTAATTTTCATACTAATACTATTATTAATACTAATACCAATATTAATATTCATACCAATAGTCATACCAATACTCATACAGATATTGATACAGATACAGATATTGATACTCATACTCATACTGATACTCATACTCATACTCATACTCATACATATACTGATATTGATGTTGTTATTGATAATAATACTAGTCTTGATATTGATACTGATACTAATACTAATACTAATACTAATACTAATACTAATACTAATACTAATACTAATACTAATACTAATACTAATACTAATACTAATACTAATACTAATACTAATATACTAATACTAATACTAATACTAATACTAATACTAATACTAATACTAATACTAATACTAATATTAATACTAATATTGATATTCATATTGATACGACTCTTTCTTGCCGTTGCGGTCATTAAAGGTTGGGAAATTCATCAGTTAGATGTTAATAATGCCTTTCTCCATGGTGATCTACATGAAGAGGTCTATATGCGGCTCCCACCTGGATATACTTCTTCACGTCCAAACAAGGTTTGTCGCCTTCGAAAATCTCTATATGGCCTTCGTCAATCTCCACGCAACTGGTTTGCTAAGATCACAAGTGCTCTTCATCGTTATGGGTTCATTCAATCTCATGCCGACCATACATTATTCACTTACCGGAGCAATGGGATTTTTCTTGTCGTTCTCGTATATGTTGATGATCTTATTGTGGCAGGCAATAATTCTTCAGCATGCTCTTCGTTCAAGCAATATTTGAACTAGTGTTTTCAGCTCAAAGATCTCGGACCTCTAAAATATTTCCTTGGCATTGAAGCTGCTCGAAACTCGTCCGGTCTTTTTCTATGCCAACGGAAATACACACTTGATATATTGAAGGAAGCCGGTCTTACTGGTGCCAAACCAGCTGCGACTCCAATGGAGCAAAACCACCGTCTAGCACATGCAACAGGTCCTCTATTATAGAATTCGGAGAGATACCAACGCCTCGTTGGCCGTTTGGTCTATTTGTCCATTACTCGGCCGGATATTTATTACGCCGTGCATATTTTAACTCAGTTCTTACATGAGTCCCGACAAGACCATTTGGACGTTGTTCTTCGTGTGTTACGCTACTTGAAACGTTCTCCGGGTCAAGGCATACTTCTCCGCTCTGACAGCTCACTAAAACTATATGCTTTCTGTGATTTTGACTGGGCTGCATGTCCTCTTACTCGTCGCTCTCTCACCGCATATTTTGTACAACTCGGCTCGTCCCCAATTTCTTGGAAAACCAAGAAACAACCCATTGTGGCTCGATCATCTGCTGAGGCCGAATACCGCGCCATGGCGGTTACAACATGTGAATTAACGTGGATTAAGTCATTTTTTTCCTCTTTGGGTGTCTTCCATACGCAATCAATGAGATTATTTTGCGACAACCAGGTTGCCCTTCATATTTCCTCTAATCCGGTGTTTCATGAACGAACAAAGCACGTAGAAATCGATTGTCATTATGTGCGTGAACAGTTACTCGCCGACATCATTTCAACGGCTTACATCCAATCGTCTCAACAACCGGTTGATATCTTCACCAAGGCCCTTAGGCAACAACAATTTCACTTGTTACTTGGCAACTTGGGTGTTCGAAATCCTCTCTCTCCAACTTCAGGGGGAGTATTAGGAAACTATATATTTTATTACAATATTAGGCAAGTAAATATATTAGAATATTGTGTAAATATTTGTAGAGTAGTAATTGGCCGTAATTAGAGAGAGGGAATGAATGAAATCATATTATCGAGAGAATAGAATTATGGGAAAAGCTTGATTTCTCTCATTAGTTGATATGGCATAATATAGCCACCGAAAGACACCACAAATTAGCTAATTACAAGAATTACGGCTAATTACTACTCTACAAATATTTACACTATATTCTAATATATTTACTTGCCTAATCTTGTAATAAAATATATAGTTTCCTAATAAGAAATCAATTTTACTGATTTTAGCAACACCGAGAATGACCATATTGATCAAATGAACCTTACTCATTTGGATGTTGCTGATTTCTTTCCTGCGCCAAGTGGAGAAATTAATGGAATCAAATTCCATGGTGATGATAACAATGATGGCAACAAATAGATCAATCAGGATTGATCAAATATTGCGTTTATGTTGCAATTGAGTTAAATAATGTTTATCTTTCCATTCCCTAAATGAGTTCGAAATAATTTTATGTGTGGTTGGTATTACTTATTTTATTCCGAGAGAAATGGAATATAATGAGTCCGTGAGCAACCTGAACGATGGAGACATTTGTTTGGTTGGCAGTGGAACAACACACACAATTCTTCGAGATCAAAAATGTTTCTCGAGTTTAAAATTGGCAAAGGCAAGTGTTAGTACAATTTCTGGTACTACCAAACTAATTGATGGCTCCGAAAGAGCTAATATTGTTTTTCCCGGTGGAATGAATATTTTGGTCAAAGAAGCTTTGTACTCTAATAAATCCAAAAGAAACTTATTGAGTTTCAAGGACATACGTCTCAATGGATTTCATATCGAGACTATGAATGAGGGGAATATGGAATTTCTTTGTATTACAACCAATATCTCATGCCAAAAGCATGTTAAAGAGAAACTCCCAGTTTTCTCATCAGGGTTGTATTATGCGACTATAAGCGCAATAGAAACAAATATTGTGATGGACCAGAAGTTCAATGATCCAAAACTTTTCTCTCTATGGCACGATCGACTTGGTCACCCAGGATCGACCATGATGCGTCGAATAATAAATAATTCATATGGGCATACTTTAAAGAACCAGAAGATTTTTTTACCCCATAAATGTGTGTGTATCGCATGCTCACAAGGGAAATTGATTATAAAACCATCTCCAATGAAAATTAGTAGCGAGGCCCCAACATTTTTACAAAGAATTCAAGGGGATATTTGTGGACCTATAGATCCACCTTGTGGACCATTTCGCTATTTTATGGTTCTATTGGATGCATCATCTAGATCACATGTAAGTCTATTGTCAACACGTACTGTTGCTTTTGTTAGACTTCTTGCTCAAATTATAAGATTAAGAGCTCAATTTCCTAATTATCCTATCAAGACTATTCGTCTTGATAATGCCGGTGAATTTTCGTCTCAAGCATTTAATGATTATTGCATGTCAATTGGTATTGATATTGAACATTCAGTTGCCCATGTACGTACTCAAAATTGACTTGTAGAGTCCTTTATTAAGAGATTGCAACTGATTGCTAGACCTTAGCTTTTACGGTCTAATTTACCCACTTCTATTTGGGGACATACAATATTACATGCTGCTTCATTGGTCAGGATTACACCAAGTTCATTTCAGGAGTATTCACCGTTGCAACTTGTTTCTGGCCAGCAGCCAGACATTTCTCACTTAAAAATATTTGGTTGTGTTGTTGTTTATGTTCCAATTTCTCCACCTCAGAGAACAAAAATGGGTCCACAAAGATGACTTGGAATTTATGTTGGTTTTGATTCCCCGGCTATAATTAGATACATTGAACCCCTGACGGGTGATTTTTTTAGGCAAGATTTATTGATTGCCATTTTGAGGATACAATTTTCCCGCCGTTAGGGGGAGAAAGATCGTCGGTTCAGGTTGAACGGCGTGAAATTACATGGAATGTACCGTCTTTGTCTCATCTTGACCCACGCACAAATCAATATGAGAAATTAGTAAAAAGGATAATCTATTTGTAAAATATTGCAAATCAATTGTCGGATGCTTTTACCGATATGAAAACGGTAACAAAATCTCATATACCCGCTATAAACACCCCGACACGGGTTGATGTCCCCGAAGGACAACATGAAGATATAATGAAACCTCGCATGAAGCGTGGGCGTTCTATTGGCGCAAAAGATAAGAACCCTAGAAGAAAAAGGGTAATAGATGTAAATTCTCCTGAAGAGAATATTATTTGTGAACAACAAAGAGCTCTGAAAAATGTGATTAATCAATCTAAAGTATATGATGCCCCTGGAGAGGATCATGAGAAAGAACTTATATCTGAAGAGATATCTTTAAACTATTTGAATACCAGGAAAAACAGGGATATAAATAAAGTTGTTATTAACAATATTTTTGCCTATGGGGTTGCAACTGATATTGCAAATGAGGACCCCAAACCAAAATCTGTCGAAGAATGTGGACATAGAAATGATTGGCCAAAATGGGAAAATGCTATTCAAGCTGAAT